GTTCGCTTGATACATTACAACCATTTATCATTGAATAATTTCCGCGGAGGCCGTAAAATATCGTATAAGAATACGAAATTTTAATTCTGCAATAGCAAAGAAAGTACGTAACGCGAGGGCGAATTATACTAATTGGGACTTTGTAATAATGTAGAGATCCTTCAGTTAAGTAATTAAACCACGATTAACCAGATTAACCTGTATGTCAAATGCAATACTTTTTAAATGTCCTGTGTTACCAATTATAAAAAAAAATATTTATGTGTTAACGTAGCGAATCGCAGAAGTCCCTACGTATCTTTTTGTATGTACATTTTATAATCTTTTTATGTTTGTTTTATTTTTCAATTCTAAATTTAAATGTGCCGCCAGTCCACTTTTGTTTTGGAAAAAAATATAATCAAATGCTAGTCAAATCTATAAATCTTTAGACTTTTTTCAGATTTATAATAACTAGTATTGCAAGGGGTAGCTGATTAAAATGTTTTAATAAAACGAAAATAAAAATGTTTACTTAATATATCGTCAATTCGATACTGTTTTGTGTTGTATTGAGCTTTGACGCGAGTTTGCCGGAGGTGGAAGTTGTGCTGGCCAGCGATCCAATAAGTGACGATCGTATAAGTATAATTTTTTAAATTTCGAATTTCGAGCAACGTCACTATTGAAACAATGTACATCAATTAGCTCATTCAACGTAGTTATGAATTAATACGGAACTTGATGAGCGGACAAACGTCAAAGTGGCCATCATGGCGTGCAGGTACCTACTATAGATCTAAAACAAACGTTTTTAGAATTGTTGCTTATGCGTTTGTGCACGATAATGTCCACAATGGCTAAACCAATTTGGATTTGGTTTTCGGTAATGTATATCAAGATAAGCTTGGATTAACATTTATTGTTCATAATATTAAGAGTTCGGCTAGTATTACAATCAAGTAAAAAATTTTGAATATTCTTGTAACTTTAAATAAAAAATGCTTTGAAGATTATTTCTTTTCTTAAAAAAACTTTTAATAATAATAAATAATAATAATTCATTTATTATAATTATTAATACAAAGATCGAACACTCAGAAAACATTCCTTATTGAATTGAATATCAATTCAATAAAAATTTAATTAATACAGTGAATAGCGACATGTCTCGCCAGGACTGATAGCTGTAAAGGTACTAACTGGGTGATAAATCTTTCATAGATTTCTCATAGATGGCGCTACGACTAAAAAGTCGTTGAAAATCCTAATACAAAAGACACGACGCAAGCACATAGAAAAATTCGTGAGGTCCGTTGGCTCGTTCCGTGGCTTAGTTGGTATAGCGTCTGGCACGGTATGCAAGAGGACGTCGGTTCGAATCCGACCGGATCGAAGGAATTTTTTCTGAGTGTTCGATCTTTGTATTAATAATTATAATAAACTAGTGGAATAATTTCACGAAAAAGAATTGAATATCAATTCGATAAAAATTGAAACAAAATTGAAAAAAAAAAGTTTCACTGTTTCCGGCCAAACATTAGATATACAAAGGAAATGAAACTATTTTTCCGGATTTAAATGGCGTATATTTTTTTTTCAAACAAACCGACGTTTCTGGCCCTTTACAGGTCCCATGGTCACGGTTAACTGAGGTGGTACAGTCTTCAACCAGTTATGTCTAATATTAATGCAAACCACCTTATTTTTTCACTATAGTTACAATAGTTATTAATTAAATACCTTATTTTTAATTTTACAAAGAAAACATTCCAATTTACGCTATATTAAGTAAACAGTAAATTAAAAAAAAACTGGAAAAGTAAAAAGCACTAGTGCCAGAAATCCAACTTTCCGCACGATTTGTAGTGCGAAAAATACCACGTTTTGAGCAACTGTATTAAAAAAATACTTTCAGGCTTTGAAACGAAGTTGGTCATATCGTCTTCGTAGGGATATGAAGGAGCAATCAGTAGTCGAAGATCTTAAAATATGGTTTGCAGCTATCTGTTCTCTTCAACCGACAAATTGCTCTGACACATCTTTTTAAGAATGAGGCCTCATTAGTTGCATTGCCCCAAAATATTATAGCGATCTTAACAACATAATCAAATACATTGATAACTTACCGAAAGACCAAATTTTGTAGATGTCAAATGTTACATAAAATTGACGATCAAAGAAGTTTTGAAAGTTATGCACAATTTCAAACACTAGCTCTTAGATCTCTCTATTGCATCTGGCCCTCCAGTTCTGAAATTCTCCTTTGATCGATCCCAGAATCTTTCGAAGTATCTTTCGTTCTGCACTAAGAATTTTTGTTCTTTTTTCAACGGCAGTGTCCGTGTTTTACACCCATACGTTAAGATTGGCCTAATTTAAATTGTATAATTTATGATTCGAATAATGTCAAACGCGTCATCAAAAATACAAATAAAAGAAATTTTTTTGCAATATTAATAATTTACTTTCCCGAAAAAAAAACACAATTTATTATTCTACACAAACATTGTCGCCTGCCAACATTGCTTTGTAGTGTCATGAGAAATACCGTGACACCGAGACAACGACATTTTTGTTCATTATAAAAATGTAGTGGCCAATAATTTATAACTGAATTTTTTACCACTTCATTTTTTATAAGTAGTAATTGTATTGCCCAATCTTTGCATTCTTAAGTTTCTCGAAAAACTCTTATTACATTAGTTTAAAGTGACCATAATGAGGTAAACAATTGGTTCTTAAGGAACCCCTAAGTACCTATTTCTTAGCGCCCTGTATATTAAATCAGAACGACATAAATAAAAAAAAATTAGATAGGTATTTAATATAGGTTTTAATTACCTTATACCATTAATTTCTAGTATGTTCTTAACTAATACGGGCTTCAGCACAGTGAAAAGGTTGTAAACCCTAATGTGCCGTGATCAGCATCACGGCAATAAAATAGAATACTTCGGAAAGTAAAGGAAAGGTAAGGGCCCAAAAGGGCTGAGTTATACAGAATTACAGATTGGTATTAACATTAAAATTGGCAAATTAAGTCGAGAACTAACGATTTACTTTCGTGAACAGTAATAGGAATTGCATTCAAAGTCTGACCGCATGAACAGTGAAGGAGCAAGAATAGAAACCGGAATCGAAGCATGGAAAAGATAACTGGGACTTAACAATAGAGCGACAGGGTTTATCCTGGGACCTAAGAAAGCTGAAACGCTCTTTCAGGTTCCCGGGAGACACAGGGTTATGTAAAATATTATAAAGAATGGACACAATATGCAAATTCCTGGGGAGACGGATGGGAAGCCATTTGAGCTGACTGCGGAAATGTGAAATACGATCATATTTACGAAGCCCAAAGATGAACCAGCCGAACTGCTCGCTACCGCGATTGAGCTGGGAGTCGACGGAACGAAACAAAATAATGCCAAGACAAAGGAATTAAAGAACGATTCAAAGTTTGAAAACAAGTGGCCGGGAACACCAGAGAAACGGTGATAAAAAGGTGGGATGACGATGTAAGGAGTGTCAAGTAGGGCCTTTCTTTTTTAACTGAGTGAGTCACTATGTCACTACACTTATCAATGCGGAATTGGCTTGATCGTACATGTATTTTACGACTCGGCCCTTCGGGCATTGGCGCTGATGTTCAATACCAGCATCCGCATCTGCGGATAATCTGCACATTAAAATATCCGCATCAGTAACCGCATTCATTGATGCTGATATTCAATGTATGAGTCGTGACGTCATATCACGTCATAGTCATCATCTCATAGTCATGTCATGACTAAGAGACACGCTGGATTTATTTACAATCCGAATTATTGTAGTGCGCAGTTCATGAAATGTTTGCACAAATTACCATAATTAAAATAATAAGCAAATTGTCGGGTATAGAGCAATTACCCGTAACAAGCATTTAATTATGAGTCTCCATTTCGGGAATTTAGGGGGCAAATCTAATCCGCGTACTTGAAGGTCGTGGCAACCAAATTGTGCGTGATTTACGGGAATCTATTGTTATCAGTAGACAACATAAATTAATGCTTACTGTACGAAAATGTCGTAGCCATTGAAGTAACAAAGGAATAATGTTAAAAATACCTCTCCTGTGAAATTTGGTTTGGTGCTTTGGTGATTAAGTACATTACTACTAAATTTCAAATCGCTACGTTAATTTGTTCTGTCTGATATTAACAACGATATCTACGTACAGAGGGCAGCATATCAAGCTACACATTCTTTTTTAACTTCTTAGCGTGTCGATTATGACGTTTATATTCTGTCCACTGTTGTGAGTAAACGACACAACGTCTCGTCATTTCGTAAACAAAAAGTTAATCTAAATTCAATTCAATCAACTTCTAGGTAGCTGTAAAAGTACTTACCTGACTGGGTGAAGAAATAGATTTTACCAAACCAAAAAGAAAGATCTGCAACAAGCATATAGAAAAAATCGTAAGATCCGCTAGTTCGTTCCGAGGCTTCGTTGGCGTAGCATGTGACACGGTTCCAACAGCCTTCCTGCTCGAATCTAACCGGATCGAAGGAATTTTGCTAAGCGTTCGATCTTTGTATTAATAATTAAAACAAACTGGTAGAATAATTTCACAAAAATAATTGAATATCCTTGTGATCAAACATCGTGACATCCAATAAATTTAATAATCTTAATTTATTGGTAAAATATCGAGTTCTTAGGTTTTCGCGATTGTTACACATAGGAAATGGAACTATTTTTCCGGATTTAAATCGCGTATATTTGTTTTTTCAAACAAACCGACGTTTCGGGCCCTTTACAGGTTCCACGTCAACCGTGACACGTGAACGTGAAAAATAGTTTTATTTGTAAAACCTTAAAAAACTTATGCTACCCTCAGAACGAAAAAAGGCACCACTGCCGTATAAAGCACGCATAGTTAGGTCTTTTTTCATTACGAGGGCAATATGGTAAAATAAAGAATCCGTCGTTTAGTAGAAAATGTACACAACATGACATGATTTTTTTTATGCAACAGATGTATGAATGCGAAGATCAACTTTCGGGAGAAAGAGAAGCAGATACTGGACCAAATCCTGGGTCCGGGGAGGTACGATGCCCGCATCCGCCCTTCAGGCATAAATGGAACTGGTAAGACCAACTTTCTAATTACTACCCCTAAAAACGCACGCAGCAACCTGCTTAGTTGCTGTTGTTCCCACGGCTGGCTAGAAGGCGTCGCGTCGGCGTGATAAAAAGGCAATTTAAAAACTTGTTATTAAATAATTAAAAAAATTAAGTAACAAAAGATACAAAAAGCCCTGAACGGGTTTTTTATGGCACCATACGACACTTCTGTCCCAATTTAGTCAATAGGGATTTGTATAAAGCATACAATTTGTTTATAAATTAACATTGTTTAAAAAACTTATTAATTTAATTTATTGCAAAAACAAACGAGAAAAACTACCGTGATTTAAACCACCAATCCGCGAAGGCAGTCACAAATTATTAAGAATTTTGAGGGCAGGCAAACTGCACCAGAAGTTGACTGCATCCATATTTCGCCTGCTATTTTGCAGCTACGGTGCAGACGAACTTCATTTAATTTATTTATGGCATAGCTACGGAATACAAACTGTGAAGTTGTTCAAGTTAACATACATAACAATAGAATAAAAAAAAATTATTAAGTAAAAAAAACAGAAAACTTCAAATTAATTACAATTCTTTTTTTATTTATGTTAACTTTGATCAAGAGAGGAGATTTATAACCATCTTATACCCTGCAACTGAGCCCCTGGTGAATCCGTTTATTTTATATTATCATCGGATCCCCTGTGCAGTTTAACAAAGAATAAATATTGATATTTTATTCCCACCTAATACCCTAATATTTATAAGCATATTTTTCACAATTTTCAAATTTTTTATACGAAGTCACACTGAAAGAGAGAAAGTCTGTTTATTAATAATGTGGGTAAGGTCACAATTTAAACTTATCCCGATGACTTTCTCCTTTTTTATTTCATAATTTGAAGTTACTTGCTAGATGTCAATATTAACGATCTGTCACAAAAAATGTGACTGTTTGTCTGATTGTCTAATAAATACGTTTGGTAACAATTGATGGTAAATAAATATTAGGGGTTAAAGTATGAAATTGCCGTTTTATTGCAATAGGTTCTTTGAATTTTCATAGAATCTTCATGGTTTGAGGTTTTCGAATGAAACTTTTTTCAAATGGTTTCTGTGATTTTTTTTTTTAAATTTGAAACATTTGAATATCGACTTTCAATTGTTTTTGTTATTCAATTTAGACAAGAAAGATGGATACTGCGAAAATTCGAGTGATTTTTGAATACGAGTTCCGACGCGGAACTAACGCGGCAGAAACAGCCCGCAATATCAATGCTGCGTTTGGAGAGGGGTCTACTAATGAACGCACCGTGCGATTTTGGTTTAAAAGCTTTCGTGATGGAAATTTCGACTTAAAGAACGAGTCACGAGGAAGACCGCCCACACAGGTTAATAACGATGAATTAAGAGAGATAGTGGAAGCCGATCCTAGTCAAACTACCCAGGAATTAGCGGCATGGTTTAACGTTACCTTACCCACAATATTGACTCACTTGCGTCAAATCAATAAAATAAAAAATACGAAAAAAGCGTGCCTCATGATTTGACTGATCTGCAGAAAGAAACGCGTGTTGAAACTTGTGTTGCCTTGTTGAACAGGTACAGAAATGAAGGAATATTGGATCGAATTGTAACATGTGATGAAAAGTGGATTCTTTATGATAACCGGAAAAGAAAAATGCAATGGCTGACCCCAGGTCAAATGCCACAACAGTGTCCTAAAGCAAAACTTACCAATAAAAAGGTAATGGTAACTGTTTGGTGGTCTCAGCATGGTGTTATTCACTATAGTTTTCTCCGATCTGGTCAAGCAATAACGGCAGATGTCTATTGTGCCGAACTCCGAACCATGTTGACAAAACTAGCAGTAAAACAGCCCCGACTCATGAATCGATCTTCACCATTATTGCTCCACGACAACGCGAGACCTCACACAGCACGAGAAACCATTTTGACCCTTCAGGAACTGCAGTTAGAAACCATTCGTCATCCTCCGTATTCACCAGACCTTGCTCCAACGGACTACCATTTTTTTCGTGATTTGGACAATTATCTACGTGACAAGAAGTTTTCTTCCCAGGAGGCAGTACAAAATGCTTTCACCAGTTTGTGCAGTCTAGATCGTCGGAGTTCTATCGCAAGGGCATTAATAACCTTCCCATTAGATGGCAGCAATGTATAGATAATAATGGCAACTATTTTGATTAAATAAATTTGTTAAAAATTTAAAAAATAAACAATTTAGATTTTCAGTACAAATCGGCAATTTCATACTTTAACCCCTATTATTTGATTAGGATCACTTTGTATTAAAAATTGGCGGTGAATCAGTTGTAAGGGATCAGATGGGAATAACCGAAAAAGAATAAGCATTTTTTTAAACAAGCGCGATACACCGAATGAGATTGTGGAAAAATGCCAACCTGTTCTTAAAATCCAACATAACAACGTTTATTAACTCCAAGGCACAAGAGCAATTTCCCAGCCGGAAAACTTTTTTGAATCGGGAAATTGCGCTCTTAAATAAGTTTCTTCAAAGGCAGTGCGAGCATAAAGGGATGAAAGTTTATGAAAATTTAATATGTTGTTACTAAAATAATGCTTGTGTGTTCAAAGCTATTGCGTTGACTATCATGTTATATAATAGCAGCTAATATTTACATGATTTCAAGTTCTTTAAGAATAAAGTTTAATAGTTTTATTAGTTTAGTAGCTGTAGTGCTCCTTGTGAAAGAGTTCATCCGGAGAAGTCCTGCCAGCTTACCTATTTCTGCCGCCAAGCAGTAATGTCAGCATTACTGTGTTCCGGTTTTGAATAAGGGTGCTGGTGAAATGACAGGCACATGGAACTTGCCATCTTACGTCTCAGGTTGACAGGCGCAGTGGCAGTGGCACTGCAACTGTTAAGGACAGGCATGTAGCTTACCAACCGGTATAAAAAAACAAGGAAAAATACTCCCTACAGGTAGGATATTCCGGACTATTGGACAGCTTGAGAAGGAACGAAAACCTTTACGTTGGTTTCAAGGCAATGAGGATTTATCTGCGGACCGACCGCGCGGACCATCGGAGCGGAATAACACGTGCGGCTTATTAAGCCACCCGTGCATTAATTATGTCGACTATCTTCTGTGAATACCCGCACTAAACTAAATACTCGATTCAGAGCACTGCGGATTCTACGCATGCAGTCCGTTCGGACCGTACGCACAGCTGTGAATCCAGCTTTATAATGATCGATACGGATAATGCTCCTTTACAGAGAATATTGTGTGAATAACTTTTGTTGCTCTCCAGCTTCGCCCTGGTATTGTTTAGGATATCTAAACTTCGCCGTCGGGTATACAAAGTCTTTCAGAGATGTCTTTCGCAAAGTCTGTCGAATGTAATCGTAATGTGTATCTAATGCACTACGGATTGGTTTTGACAGATGAGTTTCGACAGGTCAATTGTGCAACATTGTATAAATTGCGGTACTCTTCAACTGTTCTCTATTACGAAATAATAAGGAAAAAAAATCAGGAATATCGAAACTCATTTGTTGCTTTTATAATAGTTTTTAAACTTAACAACAGTGTTAGTCAAATAACTTCTTGGAATGTGAAAGTTAACCGGAAAGCTATAAATACTATCTTCATAGACGCTAAACGTCAAAGTATGGATACTAATAGACAACACGTGACTTAGATCGTTCCATTTTACTGCAACGTCGTGTTGAAAAAGGTAACATATCCACCCTGCTTTTCCATTTTTGTGGTAGACACACTTTTTCGCGCGTCAGACTGTGGCACCACAATCGTTACTACACCACGCTTTTGGACGTCGGTCATTTTTAAAACGTACGACTATGAACTTGAGTAGTTTTCTATAAAACTGACAAAAAATCCACGCTTTTCGTATTTCATAAGTTAATCCACTTTCTTGTGCACCAGCTAACATCGTCGCGACCATTCGTCTGACCATCAATATTGTTTTTATACAACTTTAAAGTAAGTTCGTTTTATTTTAAAACTCATACACAGGGTGACTGCGTGGTCGTGTAGCAACACAGTTTTAATTATGACTTACTATCCCACGCTAAAACTATTTGAAAGCGTTACAGCAACAACTTTTTATTCCATCGAATAAAAAAATAATTTATATCTTATTATTTAGGATCATGAAGTTTTAATTATCATTATGTCCTCAATGGCGGCCACTAGGCTTGGGCCAGTGTCAGTTACGATGTATGTTGTCAGTTAAAATTGAACAAGAACTCAAAAGTTTAGGCAGTAGCAAAGTATTTATTAAAAACGGACATTTCTAGCACACCTGAATTATTATTTATATATTATGCTACGTTAACATTAATGACATTTGTGCTTCAATAATTGAAAACTACTTTGTCTTTTCCAATGCCATTTAGACATATCGATAGTTTAGCTTAAAGTTATTCATATTTCAATGTTATTGGATATAATAAGGCAACGGCAATTAGGGTAAGAACACGGTAATTAGACTGAGAACATCGAATATGAGAATAGCCGACATAAGGAAGAAGGGAATCATGAATTTTAATCAAATTGCGTTTTGGGTACGATGACCATTTGACAATTGACATTTACTCGTCTGATCAAAAAAGGTTTTAACACGAAATGTAGGGTATCCATAATGTTAATAAATAGATTTACTGTAATTCATAATATTAATAAATCGCAATCATTTACTGAGTTACAAAAAGTGGATCAAAATCAGGACCACGCAGTCACCATAATACACTTCCATCCCTTTTCCCACAGCAGACTACATTCTAAATTCACTGAAAAGTCTAAAGGATACACATTATTAGTGCGTCAAGAGTGTCTTTAGAGATTTTTTGAAATATCACTCGTAGAATTAGACTGAAACAAATGAATATGATGGACATAAAAATCTGCACGGCCACAACCGACAGCTAATGTGCCGTCGTTATTTACGACTATCAGGCCTTTAAATAATTTGCCACATGTTATTTCGGAATATCTTTATATTCT